CGGCCCTGTCCAGGAGTGACCTGCGAGGCGGAGGTGGATGAGTGTGCTTCAGCGCCCTGCCTGCACGGGGGCTCGTGCCTGGACGGCGTGGGCTCCTACCGCTGTGTGTGCGCGCCAGGCTACGGCGGTGCCAGCTGCCAGCTGGACCTGGACGAATGCCAGAGTCAGCCGTGCGCTCACGGGGGCGAGTGCCACGACCTGGTCAACGGGTGAGCAGGCAGCCCGTTGCCCGAAGGCCCTCGGGGAGGCTGCTGGGGGGTTCGGCGATGAGGTGGAGGCAGCGGGGTGCGGCACCTGAGCGCGCCTCGTTCCAGGTTTCGGTGCGACTGCGCAGACACGGGCTACGAGGGCGCACGCTGCGAGCAGGAGGTGCTGGAGTGCGCGTCGGCGCCCTGCGCGCACAACGCGTCTTGCCTCGAGGGCCTCGGGAGCTTCCGCTGCCTCTGCTGGCCAGGTGCGTGCGCGCGCGCGCGTGCGCAGGCTGGCGGGGTGGGCGCGGCCCTCCGTGGACCAAACAGAGTGTGACTGCAACTTCTCTGAGCGTGTTTCCTGGTCTACAAAATAGGCTAATCGTCGTACCTGCCACCAGGGTTGTTGAGAGGAGAGTCTAGGGGTAATGCTCATGAAGTCTTGGCACACGGCTTGGCACGTTCAAAGTGGTCGCTCATACTAATAATAATACCGAGATGATGCTGAGCTGGTGAAGGCTGCCGTGGTCATTTCGATTCCTCTCCCTGTGCCCTCCCTCAGGATGTGTGTGACCCTATTCTGAGCTGTTGTCCCGGCCTGGCCCTGGGCTTGCCCCATGACCCTGTGTGACCTGATGCTCACGTGTGTGTGCCCCCAGGCTACAGCGGCGAGCAGTGCGAGGTGGACGAGGACGAGTGTGCGGGAGGCCCCTGCCAGCACGGGGGCCAGTGCCTGCAGCGCTCCGACCCCACCCTCTACGGGGGCGACGAGGCCCCCTTCCCGGGCACCTTCAGCTTCCGCCATGCTGCTGGCTTCCTGTGCCGCTGCCCTCCTGGCTTTGAGGGTGAGCTTCCTACTCCCTTCCAGGGCAGCAGGTCCGCCAGTGTCCAAATGCACCGGGGGGGATGCTGGGCTGGGTTCAAGCGCCTCTCTTTGGGCCTCTCAGCCTCCCTAGCTGTAAAATGGGCCCTTCCAGGTCCAGTCTGGCTCTGAGGGCACAGGTGGGAACCACAGCTGGGCCTCTTGCAGGAGCAGACTGCAGCATGGACGTCGACGAGTGTGCCTCAGGGCCCTGCCTCAGTGGGGGCCGCTGCCAGGACCTGCCCAATGGCTTTCAGTGTCACTGTCCAAATGGCTACACAGGTGCTTGGGGGTGGGGTGGGCACTGGGTCAGGACAAGGTCAGAGTGGGTGGGCCTGGGGTGAGAAGTTTCCTCTGGCTGATGTGTGGAGGCTGGATCGATGGGGGATGAGGAAATTCGGGAGGAGGTGGGTACAATGCAGGTGACAGCTAAGAGGGACTGAGCTGGGGTCTGGGCTTTGGAGATGGGAGCTAATCAGTTCGAGAAATATTTAGGAGGGACACTCTGCAGGTCCTGAGGGTTATCCGGGTGAGTGGGAAGTGTCAGGGATGCCAGCTGAGTTTGTCCCGGGTGATGCTGGGTGGAGGACAATGAGTTCAGTGTTCTCCACACTGCGTCCAAGTGTGTAGAGCACCTTCAGAGAAGAGCCTGGATGGGGGCGGGTGGATTGGGGTCGGGCCCAGGAGAGGGGCCTGGGCTGGAGTCAGAGACTGGGAGCCCGGGCCGCAGGTAGCTGAGGTTGTCCAGGAGGGTGTGTGGAGTGATGGGCAAACAGAGACCTAGACACCTGACATCAGACGGCTGGGCGGAGGCTGAGGGGCCTGCAGGGAGGGCAGAGGCAGTTTGGCCAGGGGCATTATGGATAGCTGGGGCCAGTGGCTGGGGGAAGGGTGAGCTTGAACTTTGGGGAACTAGGGCCCGTTGGGCAGGAGTTGGGGGTGCAGAAAACCTCTCCCTGCCTCGTGCACAGCAGATGCACAGACACACAGACAGCCTCCCACACGGCCGCGGGTGAACCCGAGGAACTTCTCACACTCTCGCTGAGTGTCCCCACCCCCTCTGGAATGCCTGTGACACTTCCCCCTCACTGCCCGCA